CGATGGGAAGTGAAAGGAGCCTCAAAATATATGCAATATGGAGTGAGCAGACGAGAAATAAAAATTGAGAAAGCAGAGTACTTAATTGAGAGAAAGAAAGCAAACAAACCTCACTGTATCAGCCATGGTTTGAGAGAGAGAAGAGGGGGAAAGAGGTATATTTAGGCTGCTTTAGCTGTGAATCGCACGAGACGAAGAAGAGACGAGAGAGCGGTATATATAGGCCCCTCTCATCACCCTCTGGGCCCCAAAAGTGTTGAAAAAATATTGAACCTTTCATCACCCGTGCCAATGAATCAGATGCGCACATGTATATATATAAGAGAGCAGGAAAGAGAAGGATATATATATATATATGAAAGAGACTAGGAAGAAGATATATGAAAGAGACTAGGAAAGAGTCATATATATATATATATATAAGAGCAGGAAGAAGAAGATATATGAAAGAGACTAGGAGGAAGATATATGAAAGAGACTAGGAAAGAGTCATATCCTTCTCTTTCCTACTCTCATATATATATATATATATATTTGTTCTCTTATATAAGAGTCATATCCTTCTCTCATATATATATATATTTGTTCTCTTATATAAGAGTCATATCCTTCTCTTTCCTGCCCTCTTTCAAGAGGATTCACGTCATGTCAAGCCCGAATTTATTATCCTAGGTCGGAATAACTTGATAGAATCCCTTTTTTTTTGTGCCCCCATGTCATCACACGGGGGCGACACCTGTAGGAAAGAGAAGGATATGACTCTTATATAAGAAAACAAATATATATATATATACACGAGAGAAGCATATAACTCTTATATAAGAGAACAAATATATATATATATATATATGAGAGCAGGAAAGAGAAGGACATGACCAGGAAATATGAGAATATATATAGATATATAAGAGAAGGATATGACTAGGAAATATGAGAGTAGGAAAGAGAAGATATATAAAAGAGACTAGGAATCATATATATATATATATATGTAAGAGCAGAACAGAGGAGGATATATATATATAAGAGCACATATATATATGAGAGAGCAGGAAAGAGAAGAGAAGACTAGAATATATATATATATATATATATATATATGAGAGCAGTAAAGAGAAGGATATGACTCTTGGACTGGAAAACACACACATATACACCCACACACGAGAGCAGGAAGGAGAAGGGAAGACTAGAATATATATATATATATATATATATATGTATATATGAGAGCAGGAAAGAGAGGGATATGACTCTTGGACTAGAAAACATATACATATATATATATATGAGAGCACGAAAGAGAAGGATGTGACTCTTGTCTCTTTCTTGTCTCTTTTGTACATCTTCTCTTTCCTGCTCTCTCACACACACACATATATATGTTCTTACATATGAATCTTTCTCTTTTTTGCTCTTATATATATATATATATATATATATATATATCTCCTTTGCCCTCTTGCATATCTCTCTCTTTCTAGGAAATATGAGAGCACACATATATATTTATGTTCTTATATATATGTCTTTCTCATTCCTGCTCTTTTATATATATATATATATATACACCCTTTGCTCTCCTTTGCATATCTCTCTCTTTCTAGAAAATATCTTTCTCTTTTTTGCTCTTATATATATATATATATATATATATATCCTTTGCCCTCTTGCATATCTCTCTCTTTCTAGGAAATATGAGAGCACACATATATATTTATGTTCTTATATATATGTCTTTCTCATTCCTGCTCTTTTATATATATATATATATACACACACCCTTTGCTCTCCTTTGCATATCTCTCTCTTTCTAGAAAATATGAGAGTAGGAAAGAGAAGATGTACAAAAGAGACAAGAAAGAGACAAGAGTCACATCCTTCTCTTTCCTGCTTTCATATATATATATATACACACACATATACGCTCTTATATATATCTCCTTCTCTTTCCTGGTTTTTTTTCGATTACAAGGGATGGGATCGAACCGGCACGCACACACCCCACACGCACGCACACATACGACTCGGCCAAACGGCCGGTGGTTCTTTCCTACTCTCTTTTATATATATATATATATTTTGCGCTTTTTTGCATATCCCTCTCTTTCCTGCTCTCTTATATATATATCCTTCTCTTTCCTGCTCCCTTTTATATATCCTTTTTTGCTTGCTCTCTTTTATATGTCCTTCTCTTTCCTCCCATACAAGAGCTATAAAAATTATGTATCTTTTAAAAACGACCAACTTGGGGTCACGCTTTGAAAAGGGTGGCCCAAGTTCGCTTCAACCTCAACGATTAGCGTGCTCACTCTAAGAGCCGGTAGTATAGATTGAATCTGCAGATCCAACCCGTTAATAGGCTAAAAATAAGGGGTTAGGATTGGTTAAAAGCCAACCAACTACTAACTCAAAATATATAACCTCTACCGCCATAACCCGAACTCGAGGAGTTGGCCCGCGACCGCAAGTGAACCCACCTATTTTTTAAAAATAAATAAATAATAAAGACAAAAGTAAGGTAAACTTACACTTCAAATTTCATTGTCAATAAAAATAATTAGATAAAGAGAGTTATTTAGTGTTGCTTGTTGGTTTTATTGGAAAAAAATGTGTGGACTTGTGTATTACTATATTAGAAAATCGAACAATCATGTACTATTTACATTTTATTATGTTGTAATTTTTATTTGGATGTTTGTAATATTTTATATTATTTTTAGTGTTTTTATTTTTATTATATATAACTGCTAACATTTAGAAAACTAAAAAAAAAAAGCAAGAAGAAAAAATATATAAATTTTGACAGGTTGGTGGGTTGATCCACTAACCCGTTCGAAAACGAGTCTTTTTAAACCCGCACCATATAACTCGTGACTTGTCACGATTGCAGGTTGCCCCGTTTAACCAGTCTTATTCACTGCTCATGAGCGTTCTCTTTATCTCTCTCTTTTGAGGGTTCCGTGTGTAGGATTTGAGCTGTATTTGAAAGCCTCTCGCCCCTCTTCCCCCCCCCCCAAACTTCGTCTTTTGCGATTCACTCCTCCAACAGCCTATATACACCTCTTTTTTCAACTTGTTTTTCCTCACACACACTCTCACACACCTTCCTTCTTCTTCGTCTTCCTCCTCCTCCTTCCTCCCCACAAACCCATCATTACGGAGGCATTTGAATTCAGCACCATGTTCTGCTGGTTTTCTTGTTTTTTGATAATCTCTCTCTTCATTTCACCCATCAAGTCCTTGATAATCTTGTTTTCTTTTAGTCCACTTTGATGCGAACTGGTAACCGAGCCCTTTCTGCCCCAAAGGGGCCTATATATATCCATCTCTTCTTCATCTTCACAGCTACAGCAGCCTAAATATGCTACTTTCCCCGTCTTCTCTCTCTCTCACACACCATGGCTGACACAGTGAGGTTTGTTTGCTTTCTCTCTCTCAATTAAGTACTCTGCTTTCTCAATTTTCATTTCTCGTCTGCTCACTCCATATTGCAGATACTTTGAAGCTTCTTTCACTTCCCATCGCTCATATCTGCTCCCCCCACGTTCTCTTTGAATCACCCGCCTTCTACCACTTCCTATCCCTATATTTGCTGATATAGTTCTTCACCATCAACACTCTGTTTTTCTCAAAGTAAAGTTTGCTGTTTTTTGCAGTTCAGAGCCCTGGCATGGTACCTTTGTATTCTTAATCACAGCGATGGGCATGGTGGTTCAAATGCACTTTGAAGGCTCATCTCCCGCCGACGAGCACTCCGCACATGTGTGGATCTTCATAGGATGCTTGTTCCTTTTTGCCTTTTCATCTGCCTACTACGAGTCTCACTCCTCCAACTCAAACAATGATTGCCCATATCTCAAACTCTCATCCCACATAGCTGTAATCTCAGGAGGCATGACTTGTGCAGTCCTAGTATCTGTGTTGGTTTCTAAACCTGTTATACCGCTCATCATCATTATATACCTCATGGGCCTCCTTATATATTTTGCCCCAAACCCAGTCACCGAAATATGCAAGAACATTGGTTCATATGTTTATGACATTTGCAAAGGAATTAAGCATAACCATGACCCAATAGCCAACATACAAGTTTCGATTGACAGGTTTAGAGGCTTCTCAGACTGATAAGTTATAATGTTATTGTACTGTTTGTCTCCTCCCTATTAGATCATCATCTGGAATTAGGTTTCTTCAATATATATGAAGAGAAAATTGCAGCTGTACACGAGTTTATTTATATGCAAAAAGCTTTCCTAACTGTACGTGGGAACGCTTGTATTTAGAACCTCTGACCTTACTACTCTTTACTTGCTTTATTATTTTATTGCAAAAAATACCTTTTTCCCCTTAACAAAGCGGCTCTGTTTTCCGCGTTGAAAACAGAGCCAAATAGAACATGATCAAATGTCGTCGTTTTGACCAATGACAAAGGCGGAGGATGATCGAAAGTCGTCATATTAGTGACAAAACCAGAGCCACTACATAGGATGATCGAAATTGTCATAAAAAACCTGACTCTGTTTTTCTTGTTCTGCTTTTTATAAATTAATTAGTATTAGGAACAAAAATTCAGTCTAATATAATTAAAGAGTGCTTGTTACCGAAAGAAGAACAGAAAATTAAGAACATTAGATTACGAAACCCTGAAGTGTGTGTAAGTTGAGTTTGGATGGGAACGAAGAATGGTGAGCACACAAGTCAATCTGGTTATTTTGTGGCAAAAGAAGGGGAGGCAATACTGCACCAATGTCCCCCCCAAAAAAAATCATAGTATCTTAATATGAAAACTAGTCATAAATTCAATTTGATTCTAAATATAACAACTTGATTCATTTTATCATTTATATATTTTTTCTTTTAAAGCAATCATCATAGACATATTAAAAGTTTTTCATTACAATTAAAAAAACATCAAACTTTGTCCAATTAGTATTCCCCCATGACCCACCCCCGCGCAATTGACTAGTTTTACGGGTCGAAGATAAAGCATTGTGTAGTAACTGAAATACTCTTTCAGTCCTAAATATAAAGTCTATTTTGTAATATAATTTACATTACAAAATAGGTCTTATATTTAGGACTGGAAGACGGGAAGAGTATCTTTTTAGCTATGTCAAAAAAAAAGGAAGCCGTACCATGGCCTGTTACCTTTATCTTTTTCATACTTTTCTTTCTTCACATTCAATTGTTCCTATTGAAGAAGAAAAAATGGATAATTGAGATTCAATATTTTATAAGATCATTATTTTTTTTTCCCATTCTCAGGTAGTTTATAGTTGTGAACTGTCCACATTAATTTTTTTATAAATTAAATTTATTTATTTTCTCTTTAATTATGTAATTATTTAATCATAGCATTTTGGTCTTTTAACTAGGTTCCCTCTGCACCACTCATGTTTCCCTTGGCGTTTGAAAGGTGATGGCTCCCCCCTTCCGTTGAACCCCTGGCCCTTAGAGAATGAACAACGTACATTCGAAATTTGGTACTGTCTTCGTGTCCTAATACAAGGACTGATAATTAATTTATGAACATTGAGAAATTTAGTTATATTAATTATTTTTAATAAATATATATTGATTTTTCTATAATAATTTCTTAATTAATCATGTGTCTTATAACTACCCTTTTATAAACACCCTCATATTATGTGTAATCAACAAAAATACTTTAAAAAATAATTTTAAATTTTAAAAATTAAATTAAGATTTTATGTCTAAAATCAAAATAAACCGTTTGTCTAGCCCTTTTATTTAGAACTAGAGCTAGTATACAGGAAGCTTGCGGGGGCGGGGTTGGGTTTCCTATCACATAATATTTATCACTACAATAAAACTTATATTCGAGAGTCTAATTCAAATGGTTTAGTTTTAAAATTGTTAACTTTAAGTTTTTTTTTTTAACAAATGATGGTTAAAACTTAAAAAACTATCTTCATTTTAAATGTTACGTATATTAAAATTAAAAGAGAATAAACATAGAAAATAAAATAATATTACATCTTGGTAGTCCAGTCCTTTCTAGAATGGGAAGCATTCCACGTTGATGCATCCAAATTTATTTCAAGTTTGCCCGAAATGGAACACATTCCATGCTCATTTAAAAAATAAATAATTATATATAGGATATTCGTCTTCATCTAAATGATTTTGAATGGTCCAGATTTAATTTAGGAAAAATCGCAAAAAAAAACCCTTGAAATAATAAAATTTGAAATGAGTACTTGAATTAACAAAATTGATGGCTGGACGAAGGACAGCTCTCCTATGTCAGCATTACAGCGCGTTTGATCATTCCCAAACAGGTGTCAGATGAGTTCTTTTGGGTTTAATGTTATCTTGAAAGTTTTTAAATTGTAACAATCTTGTCTAGGTCATTATTGAGGTTAAGTTTGACCACTAACTACTAATTCTATTGAGGTGAAAAGTCTCTACATGTGATTCATGTCATTTTTGTCGAGTTAAAATGCAAATTTTCTGTGGAAGTTTCTATTCAAGAGCATTAGGTGTGCATAAGATTTTTTTTTTTAAAATTCAATGTCGCCCCTAAAATTTCCAACTCATAGCAATTTTGCCTTGGCGATTATTCTGGTTAACTTTAACTGTTAGTTAACAAAACATGTCGATTTAACAAGTCTACATGTTATCTACTTCATTTTTTTTCAAGTCAAATTTATAAATAAGAGAAAATTTTTTAAAAAATGAACAAATTTTATTGGTTTTATTTGTTTATTCTAATCTTTCATTTTATTGGGTTTTACTCTGTATAAATTAGATTGTCTTCTTATGTGAAGGGATCCTCTACTTTTTCATTATGATCTTTTTGCTATGAATTTTACTTCGTTCTACATTATTGATGATTACTTTGATATTTGGAATTTGGGAAGCTTTTTTATATAAGTCGAGATAAAACTGTTCTTACATATTTACCTTGAGCATAGTAAAATCACTCTATCCAAACACAACCTGTTTAAGTGTTAACTTTATATATCACCCTCTCTTTCCATTGATTACCCATCATCCATTATCGTGCTGCACAACTTTTTGACTTTATAACCTCTTTTGATATATCTAGATGGAACTTTAGCACTAGATAGCCTCAACACTGAAATACTGGTTGATGGCTAATTATTGACAAAAGGAAACAAAAACTTCGCCGCTTTCTCTTTTTTACCAACAGAGAAAAAATAATTTGCCTCTATAGCATGATCCATCTGCTATCTCCTTTTTTCTTTTTATTTTCCTCTGGTAAATAATTAAAATCCATAAAAAAATAGTGTCTTAGATATTCCCTTTGTCCTTGTTTATTGACTAACCACCTAGTACCTACATTTTTTTCAGAAAATCAAGAAAAAAAAAACTCTCATTAAAATTTAAAAATTTTGTTTGATGAGAAGGCCCTAAATCAGAGTAGGGGTATTCTATGTGTATAAAATTTGTAAAGTACCAATATTTTCTGTGTACAAAAATTTATTAGGTTTTTCTAAAACAAAATTCAATTGGAACTCCCTCTCTTTTCGCAAACAAAGTACCTAAAATTTAAAAGAAGGTGAGAGAAAAAGTTTTGTTTTCACGGTTACTACTCGCTGTTTTATTCTATTTTTTGTTGACTTTAGCTCGCATAGTGTGAAGTGTATAATCGTATTTTGCATTAATAATAAAGAAAAAAAAAATAATAATAATAATTAGAAAGGGGAAAATCTCTTAAAAAACCAACCAAATAGCCATATCTAATTTGGGTCACTGAACTTATGAAACTTCTAATCCAGCCATATAGCCTAAGGAGGGATTTAAAAGTTTGATCAAATTACATTAGTGTCCCTAGGTTTAGTCAAAATTTGTTGCAAAGATATTGTAGAGAAGTAAAATTTTTAATTTAAAATTGAAACTTGTAAACTGTATAATGGAATTTACTAATTGTAAAGGTTTTTCTCATAGGACGGAATGTAATTTTAAAGGTCTTCTTGTGCTCAAGGCTTTTTTTTTTTTAAGATTTATTGGAAATGTTTTGTGAAGTGAAAAAGTTAATTTAGAAGATCTTGAGAACTGCATAATAATAAACTTGTTAATTTTTAAGGATATATATTGTTTTTAAGTTTTAACGTGTTGTGGGGAATGAGAAGTCATTAGTTTTGGATTGAAATTTGCGAATCACGTAATGAAACTTTTTAATTAGTTTTCGAGGGCATATTGTGCTTAAGTTTTTCTTTCTTTTTTTTTTTTCATGAAGATTTGTTGCAAATGCATTGTAGTGAAGGGGAAGTTATATTCATTTAAAATTGTAACTTGTGAACTACGCACATAATAAAACTTGTTAATTTCACAGGGTCATTATTGTCATTTTAACTAGATTTTAAGTCTGTAATTGAGTTACTTAACATTATTAAGATTTCATAAGTTCAGTGACCCAAATTATGAACTGAATTATTTGGTTGGCTTTTTAAGGAATTTTTCCCAAAGAAAAACGCGTGTTTGCAATACAATAATAAATTAAAGGCGTTTCAGGTTATGCCCCAGCACGGTGAATGCGACACAAGTACGTACACGAGATCATGACTAAATTAATATTTAATATTCAACAGAAACCAAGTAAGCATAGAACCGAGGGCTTCAGTAAAACTGAAATTAAACAACAAAGCTAGTAAGTAAACAACAGAATATCAGTCGTTCTCCATATATGAAAGCGTCCCCAAATACAATGAGGAAAGCATTCCTATGTGGGTGAGAGAGGGAGTGAGAGAGAAGAGGGAATGGTTGATGTAAAGAGAATGGTGACAATGATATATGGGCTTGCCTGTAGAGCTGGTAATATGGGTTGACTGTGGGGATACGGGCCAGTCTGTAGCAGAACGGGCTGAAAGCGGAGCGGGCTCAAGTAGCCCGCATTTTGACAGGCTGGCAAAATGGAAGCCCGCCTGTATTTAAAAAAAAAAAACGAGAACACACTACTTTTGGCACCTTTTCACACCTGAACGTATTTTTCATTACAAATTACAACATTCAAAGACAAATAAACATCCAGAACAGTTAAAAAACACCAACCAGCGTCCAGCAACAATTCAACATTAATTCAAGTGTCCAAAAATTAAATATTACAAACAAAACACATCTAAATCCCAAATTTTGAATTTGACTCTAGAGACAGCCAGCCAAAGTCTTGAGCTTGCGTCTTGATTCGCGAAACAAGGTTGCTGCACCTGTGAGCTTGCGACATGAAGATGATGGAGCTGGGCAATAGCAATTCGAAGACAATGGGGCTGGGTGATGGCAATGCGAATCAAGGAGACAAGAAGCGAGGCTGTGTCACGGTGAGCTACATGCGTGGTCAATGTCGGCGATTCTGGTTTCTGGGGAGTGGGGAGTAGCCAAGTGGGGACTGCTTAGTGCGTGAGTGTGTGGTGGGCTGGTGGCTGCAGGATGATGGAGCGAAACTCTGAATTCTGAATTTTGGAAGGATCAAGGAGTACGGGTGAAGGTCACTGAAGGCGATTCAGCGAAGGGCAAAGTGCGAATTGCAAAATAGCGAAGTGCGAAGCTAGGGACTTACTGACTTAGGGGTTAGGGCAGCTGGGCAACACGATTTTGTTTTAAAAAATTTATGATTAAATTTAAATTTTCAATTTTTTTGGGTTGGGCTAAAAATTAAAAAAGACTTGAAGTTGGACTTGGACCAGGACCACCATATAGTATATAGACCATGAGACAAGAGTGATGAGTCCATGATTGTGAGCCTGTGAAGTATAGTAAAAAAAAAAAGCGGGCTAGCCCGTGGCGGAGCAGGCTGACAAAGTTCAGATTTCAGCGGGCTAGCATTTTCCCAACCCAAACCCGCTCTTTTAGGCGGGCTGGCAGACTGGGCCTGCAGGCCCAGCCTGTTTTACTGGCTCTTCGCTTGGGACAAAGTACCATGGAGCTTAACTGGGCAAGTCCATGCAAAGAAGCGGGGTAGATCAAGGGGGAGCGCGTCGCGTGTCGCTACCCGATGGGATGACCCCATCCGTGATGCCTGGGCGAGCGGAGAGAAGCGTGAAAGGAAATCACAAAACCTTCGTCTAGTATGTGGTAAAGATAATGGCGAGAATATGTGGGATGTTGAGATTTCAAGAGACTTAAACCACATGGCTAGTGAAAGAAGCAAGGGCGGGAAGGCGGGCGGTAGAGGAGAGGAAAGTCTGACGAAGGAGAGAATGAAGGTTCATCACAATTTCAAAGTGTTAAAAGCACACATATTGATCCTCATCGCCAAGGTAACCACATGAGATATGCAAAGCAAACGCAGCTTAAAAGACCAAATGCCATAGTTAAATATTTTTATTATTTTGCAAAAGATGCCGCCTAATTAATCTCCATTGATTTAGCATGGCAATCTCAAATCTCGATTAGTGAATTAGAATTGCCACAATGATGGGTCTATGATCTATAGTAAATAACAACAACAATATTCAACGGGCGAGATTAATTTTAAGCTTCCAAACGTCAATATATGGCTTATGCGCGAGAGAGTGTGTATGCTCCGATAAATGTAATGTTTTAACATTTTGAATTGATTAACAGTACTGTGCTTTTGCATCATCATATTATTTCTAAGAGAATATATTATAATTTTTTTAAAAAATAAAATTACAATTTTATTTTTTCCCAAAATTTTTTAGTACTCCTCCGGTCCTTAATATAGGACCCGATTGTTGAGTTGGGTTTAGTCATAAATATAAGACTCATTTCTCATATTTATCAAATTTCTCTAAACTACCCCTATGGATACTCCCTCAACCATAATCAAATAGAAGAGGGAGATGAGGTATTAAGAAAGATGATTATGGTGTTTTAGAAAAAATGTGTTACTTTTCTTATAATTAACCAACTTACCTAACTTCTTTAATCTAATCAAATTAGTTAAATGAGTCTTATATTAAAGAGTGGAGAAGTAATTTTTAAAGACGAAATCAAACTCGGTTTTGTACATCTGGTCGGCTTGTCTTTAACCTGACACCCTAGGATCGGGGCGTCTGGACGTCGCATGACCTTTGTCCGCTTCTAACCGTAGCGAGGTGGGAAGAAATTCTCGCGTGCTTATCTACTTTCCCGCGTAACACAATATCGAGTATCGGCAAAAGCATGTGGTCCACATGATGCGGATGAATGAAACAAGGTTAAAAAAATGAAAAGCTGCTGTACAGCGTGGAATCAAAGACAAAAAGTCAAAAATATCCCTATGTATAGTTGTTTTTCCAATTCAAATGTTTTTTTTTGGCCACCTTCTCTTTCTATTCTACAAAAATTTATTCCAAAAAAATATTTAATTTTAACATTCCTAGTGAAATATGCAACACCTAATTTTTATATACTAATAGGATCATTTTAACGTCTGTGAATCACTAACGCTAGATTTTTGACTTGGGAAAAGATAGGAAATTTTTTTTCCTTTAATTAATATTAGAATCCATCAATCAAACATTTCAAATGTTTTGAACAATTGAAGACTAATCAACAATCAACCTTGCTTTTAATTTAATCTTTTATCACCTGGAATGATTTCATACTGTGCAATCTCATAATATTATATTAAAAATATAGCAACCATCTTGGTTGGCAGCACATACTTGCACCCGGCAGTGATCTCCTCCTTATAGATGATACAAAATAATATTTACATAAAGCAAGTAAAGTTACTTGCCCAAATAAAATATATAATAAAATAAATATTAACTTATCAAGATATTTTGCTACATATTTACAGAATATAACAGCTATCTCTGCTCTTCAACCAGTCCAACTTCTTCTTATACAACTTCCTTTCCCTTAAAGTTGTGCACCTTTGCTGTATATTATGGAAGGGAGGGTAAGATTCCGAAGAATCCCCATAATAGTAATTTCTAGCAAACACAAATACAGATTACATAAAGTATGCAAAACAAGCCAAAGTGAAACATAACCTTGCAAGCTAATACAATTAAGCATTTATACATAATGACAGATAGATAAGCTGAATAAATAATACGCAAATAATTGACAGATACTGCCCCATGTCTATCAGCTACAAGTGATCACGGCTAAATAATCCGTGCAAGGAATTAAAGATTACATGCTCTCATGCTTTAGAAAAGTAATATGGCACAAATAGACATGCAGCAATCATACATAAGTATAAGGTAGGAAAGAACCACTACCTGGTTTGCTTCTCTCTAAATCAAGCCTTACTATTCTCCTTTCTTTTTGCTTTTTGGTGAGCTTGAGCATATATCAAAACCTATCATATTTGTAAAGATAGATCAATATTTGATCCAACTATAATTCATAAATTAAATAACTCTCTTTAAATTCCAAATCTTCTTTAATCTGTACCCTTACATAATAGTTGGTCATCTTGGACAATTTTTCTTGTTCAAACTATTCTCTTTGAAACGCTTCCTTTCTTATTTCAACTCATACAGTTACTTTACTTGATAACTAGTCATCAAAATAAATCCTAAATTCAATCATTTAATCTCTAAGCTTCCCATAGCCTTAGCAACATCTTCAATAACTTTATTAACACCTAAATTCGTAGCTATCATTAACTCTCAATAACGCTCACTTACTTTCTCAATCTAGAACTTCCAGCTTTCTATATATCTCCAATCAACACACACATGTAACAAACATATATAAATATATCAATTATGTTTTAATCACCCCTTCCATTAAACCTCGCAGCCTAACCTCCTCCTGGAAAACAATTTCAGATTCAATATTTTCCATCCCCAACTTCCACGTGACCCAGTTTCTTTCAATTTCATGAACATCCCACGGTATCTACACATATAGTAAAATTTGTTAAGACAAATCTGCGACTATAGATATGCATATATATTATATCTCATTTATTCCATTGGATTACTTCAACTTCATAACCACCAATATAAATTCCATTAGATTTCGGCCAAACACAGAACAACAAGAGAGCATTAGAACTCCAATCTCCAAGTGTAACCTCATCTATATGCGTGTATGCGTTCACCTTCCTCTAATGTCCCAAATTCAAGCCCCTTAATCCAATGGCAAGAGGCTCTCAGCTTCACCTTTCTCCCATATTAATTGATATTTACTGCTGCAACTTTTTCTTCTTAAATCACTGAGCCAACCGGACACTTATATACAAACACACACACATATATATTCTTGCATTTACTACAAAACCCCACCGCGCACAACCTATTTCCAATGTGCCTCACGGCCTTCATTCCATGACAATCATTTCAAGCCTAACATCATAATGATAGTAATCCATCAAGCAGAGAACGATACCTATGAACCGGCTTACTAACATATATAAATATATATAACCCAATTTCAACTCCATTCTTTTGATTCATTGGACTCCCGACTCGGTCAACACAAAAATAATATATAATATCACATGCACTTTCAGAAATCCAACTCTTGAAGTTCAAACTGAGAAATTTCCAAGCCTTATATTAGATTGCTTGTCCCTTGTTTCGGAAATTATGAACAAGAGCAGAAAACTCACATGCAAAGTAATATATATAAATTTCGGACTCCTCTTTCTCATAGCACCATGTAACCCGACACACATGAACCCAACTGACACCCCCTGTTTCACATTCTCACGGTAGAGAGGGAAAAAGAAACATGCAAGCCCAAAAACCACCATTACAACATCCATTGTCATCCTTCAACACGACATCATAACTTAGCTTCTCCGTTCCCACACTTTCTCTCACTAAACAAGATTCTCTCTCTGGAATCACACCCAAAGAACAGCACCCAATAAAGAAAATGAAAGCAGGAAAGGACTCATGAGGCTCACCTCGGTCAAAAACGAAGATTGCATGCAAGTTTCAGGCGTCCGATCAGTACTTTCTTCTTCTCTGCTTCTCCACCGTTTCTCTCTCTCTCTCTCTCTCTCTATTTTTCCTCTCGTTTTCGATGCAGAAATGAAATGGAGGTGGATAACTGATCTGATGGTTAAAAGGGCGAGGCACGCGTGAGGTGAGAGATTCCTGGACCAGTTTGCCCCTCTATCATATTTATTCCTTAAATTTTATCCTTCTCCCATTTTTCTGAAATATAAAACATATCCAGAAATTAAACCAAAATATCTTATATGGATTTTTCTTATCCATTAGCTTCTTTGACCCATATAATAGATTTTCTAAAAATTCTGGATCAAAGTCAATTCCTAATTAATTTTCTTGAATTTTCAAGAAAATAGCCATCCACTCTAGAAATTAATCCTTAACCCATTTTAAGGATTTTATGTCTCAAACAACTTCTTTACCTCATAAAATAATTCCTGCAAAATTTTCTAGTTAATTAGAAACCTCTAAGTATTTTTCTTAGAATTTTCTAAGAAAATAACCCATTTTGCTATGAAAATAGCTTTAAAATTATTTAAGCCAGTTTTTGGGGAATGAACTTTTCCAAAATATTTCTAAGCTCTCAAAATAAATATTCCATAATTTTTCCCAATTTATTTTTTCATTAAATAATTTTAATGAATTTTCTCTTTTCTACTTATCCTAAGTCAAAATTCGGAATGTTACAAAATACTTATTAGAATAATTGATAATTTAATACTACCTCTTGTTCTTAATATAAAACCTAGATAACTAATTTAGAGAGATTAATAAAATAAAATAAATTCATTATTTGTAACAAATATATGTTAATACATGTTCAAAAAAATAGAAATGAGGTTCCCTTGAAGAGAATTAAATACCAAATTTTTTTTAAATCATCAAATTATTTTGAAGTACTAAGGGACCTCATTGCAAGAGATTTTACGTGCTTAATACCAAATTCTCTTTTTTTTTTAAAGTATGTATTGACAATTGAAATAACAGTTGTTAATAATTTAAGATGTAACGTTAATAATTAATACTCCTTTGGTCCTATTTATAATGCACTTTCAGCATATTTCACACATACCAAGAAAAATCTTAAACTTCATTAACTCTCATTTAAAATTTAATGACTTTTCAACTTTATCCCTATTTAATATATATTATACCTCATATAAACAAAGTCAACACAATAATAAATTAAGGGTAAAAGTGTACATCTATACAAAAAATTTCTTTCAGTGCCTTATAAATAGGATCAAAAAGTACCTTTTCTCTCTATTACCAGAGGAGTAACTATTATTAACACCTACTCTACCAAGCCATATCTAAAGACGGTTTAGCATAATCAATATCAATATCAATGCATTATTAGCACCTGTTCCACGGAGCCACATCTAAAAGCGGCTTAGCATTGGTTTTAGAGACGAATTATTGTTTACAAGCCATCAATCAATATCAATATCATCAATCATCAATATATTATTAACACCTGTTCCACCAAGCAATATCTAAAAACGGCTTAGCACTGTTCGCAAGCCATGTTGATTAAATTTCATCTCCCTCCATCTCTTCACATCTCCTTTCTCCTTTTCAGGAATCTCAATCCCATTTTATCTCATTCAAAATGTTTGTAATCTTCTTTTATTATTCATTTCATTTATGCTTTTTCCCTTCTTCCTCTTATTTTATTTTCCTTTTGCTGATTTCACCTTTCTTTATTGTTCTTCGGTTTCTTTTTCTTTGGCCCCTCTTATTAGGTTTTCCAATCATTTCTTGCAGTTCATCGAGTAAGGAACAAAACAAAAACATGTGTTCTGTCTCTGATTTCTTCTTATTTGCTCGAGGTAGCTCTACTATTCTCTTTGAACTCATCTCTCTCCGCGACATTGATCTAAGAACGAAGAAGTTGTTCAAAGATCTGCCATATTGACGTAGCTAAAGCTCAACTATGATTTACATGAGAGATGAGCTTCTCATCTACTTATTCTCTCTAGAAGATGAAGAAGAGCAAAGGTAATGTTGGCTATTTCTTCACAATCACCAAAATTTTCTTCGGATTTGTAATCGACGGGGAAAATAAGAAGGTCTGATGCGTGGTTACCGTAAAGTTTCTAAAGCACAATGAGAGAGACATCTGGTAGGTTATGTTCACGATTTGAGTTCTTATCTTCTTCTGTTTTTTTTACGCCATATATATATATATATATATATATATCCATTCTTCCTCTCCCCTTCTTCGTTTCTGTTCTCTCCCACCATCCTTCTTCTATTTTCTGTAAGGATCTTTAGAAGGTTATGGTTGTTTAGCGGTTTGATTTTTTATCTTCTCTAAAATTTTCTTCTCAACATCTTTCAAGGGTTTGCTTTCTTCGTTTGAGTTTTTAGATTAGAAGGAACGAAGAAATAAAGATGAACGGAAGGAAAGGATGAACACCAATATGAGAGGTCATGGATAGAGATGGCTAACAATGTGGGGATATTGCGACCAAGGCAGCGGTGAAGAAGCTACGGCAAAGAAGGATGATATGAGGTGAACTAATTTCCTCTTCCCCATGTCTAGCTTCGACAATTTTGGTTTTTGGGTTCTTCTATTTTATAGTATGTTCAGATATAGTTTTAGAGCTCTCTATCTATTGATTGTATCTATTCTTCGATTTTGGGTTCTTCTATTTTATAAAATTCAGATATTTAGTTTCTTTTATGTTATAGTTTTCTATTTGTTGATTTATATCTTGCTTTCAAGAGGGATACGTCAGAATGAACCACTTTATATCGGTTCATCCTTCTCCTGCTTTACATCAGGCTTTCCCACGAGGTGAAAATATTTTGGTTGCTCAAGTTTTACCACATGAATGATATTCAATTTCCCAAAATATCGGAACTTTAAAGTTACATAGATATATTATTATCAAATTTGATGCAATGACTTAAAATGATCATTGCCTCCGCATCATGATAAAGTATATAGCAGTAAGATTAACTTAACTTTATTAATCTCAGTAGGTAAGGTTTTATTGTGAACCATGTGAAACTATATCCTTTAATTCTTTTAGTGTTAATCAGAGCAATTCTCACAAGTGAGGCTCTAACAATAAAATGGTGCGGATCCACATACATACTGTAAAACGTGGGCCTGGGAATTCCTGAATAACACTATATTATTATTCAGATTATTCTCTCACAATGTATTACATCAAACCCCCTATTTATCCTATACGAACTGGGCTTTACAAGAAATAAGGCCCAAGACAAATAATTAAGTCCAAATAGAATCCTAAATTCTGAGTACAAATTATTTATTCCTAACAACCTAAATTACAAACTTCTATTCTCAACACTCCCCCTCAAGTTGAGAACCAAACAAATTCAAGGTTCCCAACTTGCTGAGAAGTCTCCTTTGAGTTTCCTTGCTAACAGCTTTAGTAAGAATATCAGCCTCCTGATTTGAAGACCTCACATGCTACAGCTTTATCAGGCCTTGAGTCACTTTTTCTCTCACGAAATGACAATCGATTTCGATGTGCTTGGTCCTCTCATGAAACACCGGATTTGAAGTTATGTGTATTGCTGCTTTGCTGTCGCAATACACATCCACTGGTTTTCTGTTGCTAATTCCTAGATCTTGCAACAATCCAAGCACCCAAATAACTTCTGAAACCGCTGAACCTAAAGCCCTCTACTCTGCCTCTGCTGAAGACCTTGCCACCGTGGTTTGCTTCTTTGTCTTCCAGGCTATCAAGTACCCTCCTAGCTTGAGAAGATAACCAGTAACAAATCTTCTTGTGCTACCACAGGCTCCCCAGTCAAAATCACAAAAGCATTCCAGATCCAATTTGCCTTCTGCGCTGAGAAAAACACCTACTCCTGGAGATTGTTTAAGGTATCTCAGCACTCCAAAAGTTGCTGCCATATGTGATTTCATCGGATTTTGCATAAATTGACTCAAGACCTGTACAGGAAAAGAAATATCAGCTCGTGTAACGGTTAAATATATCAATTTACCCACTAACTGTCTATATCTTTCTGGATTCTTCATCAAATCATCTGGTTTATTCTTTCCTTCCTCATATGCTAACAACTTTAAATTCTGCAACATAGGTAAGGATAGTGGCTTACACCCACTCATCCCTATTTCAGCAAGCAAATCAAGGACATATTTTCTTTGATTTAATACTACACCCTTACTGGATTTGGCAATTTCAATTCCCAAGAAATACTTCATCAAACCCAAGTCCTTGATTCTGAATTGTCTGTGCAGATAGTCTTTGACCTCCTCAATTCGCTTTTCTGTACTACCTGTAATAAGGAGATCACCACATATACTAGCACAAACACAGACCCATCATGATAATTCTTATAATACAAAGAATAATCATGTTTACTCTGATTAAATCCTCTACTTACCAAGGCTATAGACAGTTTCTGATTCCACTGTCTAGAGGCCTGTTTTAATCCATACAAAGATTTCTTGAGTTTACACACCATATTTTCCCCCTTATTATCAAAACCTTGGGGTATAGTCATGTAAACCTCTTCATTAAGATCACCTTGCAGAAAAGCATTGTGCAAATCCATCTGATAAAGATTCCAATTATTTACAGCTGCCATTTTCATTACTATTCGGACTTAAATCATTTTTACCACAGGAGAAAATGTCTCATGAAAATCTATTCCTTCCCTTTGGGTATACCCCTTTGCCACTAGTCTAGCCTTATACTTGTTTATTGTTCCATTTGGCTTATACTTCACTTTGTACACCCATTTACATCCTATTGTTTGTTTTCCTCTTGGCAATTTTACTAGTTCCCAAGTCTTATTATGTTCTAAGGCCTCTATTTCCTCTTTCATTGCTTTGACCCAATTAATATCCTTTACTGCCTCTTTATATGATTGTGGTTCACTAATAGAGTCAATAGAACATAAGAAGCACAAGTAAGAGGAAGAAATATTTTCATAAGACATATATTTCTCTATAGGGTATCTACAGTTACCTTTTCCTATCTGATTGTTATTCGGTCGAGTGCTCACCAAATTGCAAATGTAATCTTGTGCCCAGATTGGTGGTCGTTTGTCCTTGGTTGGTCTAGTGGAAGGCTGTGCAGCATGATTCTGGCTCTGTGACTCAACAGAAGGACTTGTATTGTCCTCTACACATACATCATTATTTCTTTGTTGATTATATTCAGTTTTAGAGTCATTCCCTTTGTTAATTTCTAATGTTATTGGAGTATCCTTAGGATCAAACATGAACATTTCCCTAAAATACTTACTTACTCCCCCTTGGTTCATACTCATGGCATCTTTGAAAGGAAACTTGTTTTCTATGAAGTTAACATGCCTACCTACAAAAATATCTCTATTGTGTAAATTAAGCAACACAAAACCCTTTTGATTATTGGGATATCCCAAGAAGACACAAGGTAAAGATCTGGGCTTAAATTTATCCACATTAACTAAATCAATAGCATAGGCTAAACAACCAAAAGCTCTCAGATTGGTATAATCAGCAATTTTTCCATACACAATTTCATAAGGAGTCTGAAATTTCAGAATTTTAGAAGGTAATCTGTTGACAAGGAAACAAGCCATTTTAACACATTCTCCCCAATAATTAATCGGCACCCCAGATTGAATTATCAAACCTCTAGCAACCTGTATCAGGGTCCTATGTTTCCTTTCTACTATTCCATTCTGTTCAGGGGTATATGGACAAGAAGTTTCATGCACAATCCCTTTTTCTCTAAGAAAGCATTTCAAATCATTATTAATAAATTCAGTGCCATTGTCACTTCGGATTCTCTTAACAAAAACAGAAAAATGAGTAGAAACATGAGCAACAAAGTTCTTTATATGCATGACGGTTTCTGTCTTATGTTTCATCAAAAATATCCATGTTGCTCTAAAAAAAAATCATCAACTACAATAAGGAAATACTGATGCCCTGAATGTGTGGGTGTTCTATAAGGTCCCCACACATCCATATGAGTTAATTGAAAGCAACTATTTGTCTTAATAAAATTGGGGGAAAAGGGAATTCTAGTCTATTTAGCTTGTATGCAAATCTCACAAATTTTATTCATAGCAATATCCTTGTCCTTTACAACATGTAAATGTCTCATAATAGAGATAGGGGCATGCCCAAGTCTATGATGCAACAACCAAATATAATCTGAATCGAAATGAACTTTCTTATGTTTATCAACAAAATTCACATGCTCATGATCCTCATTCAGTTTCAACAGGTACAATCCTTCCGCAACTTTACCAGTCCCCATCATTCTGCCACCCTGAAGGGCCTGTATAATGCAATAATCAAGAAAAAAATGCAGCCATACAACATGCTTCCCTAGTTAGTCTAGAGACAGATATGAGATTAAATTTCAGCTCAGGAGCATATAAAACTTCTAATAACTCAATACCATTCGAAAATTTAACTTTTCCTACATGAGTCATAGGAACACGCTGTCCATTAGGTATCTTAATAGATTTTATGGGTCCTATATATTCCTTATAGCTATTTAACAGTGATAAATCTCCCACCATATGAGTAGTCGCACCAGAATCAATAACCCAATGAGTATGAGCATTCTTATATAAAACAGAAGTTGTCAAACCTGTACCGATAAGTGCATGAACTATCCCAGATTCAGACTCCTTCCTGAGTAGCTCAAGTAGTTTCTCGTACTGCTCCAATGTGAAGCTCAGAGATACCGTGTTCACAGAGTGTGTTATTGTCTCAGGTTGTTGTCCTACCTCGACCTCGGTTTGATTTACACTTACTTCTTGGTTGCTTTTACTTCTGTTTCCCTTGAATTCCGCAGGGTACCCCACCAATTGGAAACAATTGTCCTTGCTGTGTCCCTTCTTGCGACAGTGGGAGCATTCCACTGGTGAAGATCCTCTGCCACGCCCTCGGCCGCGACCTCTCCCCTTTCCGAGCATTGCCACTCCTTCAATCGGTTGCATCGTAGTGGAATTAGCAATGTGCCTTTGTGATTCATCTTCAAGGATCATCGCGTACGCTTGGTTAACAGAGGGGAGAGGAGTCATGAGGAGGATCTGACCGCGTGTCGGACTGAACAACTCATTCAGTCCCATGAGAAATTGCAACATCTTTGTTGCTAGATCATCTGGGTGTATGCCTTCGAGGTCTCGCACTTGCAGGTCGGTACAGAAATTAACACCGCCTGCTCTTCCCAGAGTTGCTTAAGGCGAGTATAATACCCCGAAACAGACAATGCGCCTTGACGAAGGGAATGAATTTCTCCGTGAATGCTGAAAATTCTCGAGCCGGTGACTTTATCGAACCTTTCTTTAAGATCGATCCACGCCTCTTGTGCTTCTTGAAAATACACCATACCACTCGCCAATTCCTTCGAAATGGAGTTTAAAATCCATGAAAGAACCACTGCATTACACCTTTCCCATTGATCATGGAGGTGTGGTTCTTGCGATTCTTTCGTACACGTTCCATCGATGAAACCCAGTTTCTACTTCCCTCTCAACGCGATCATCATTCCTCTACTCCAAACTGTATAATTCTTAGTTCCGATGAGAATTTGTTGAATAATTGTGGCTCCCTGAGTATCTGATGGATGTAGGTACAGGGGGTGATTGAAGGAGAGGCTCGCTGCGGAGATATCATCAGAGGACATCTTCTTGTCTGCCATTGTGGTTGCGAAACGCAGCGTCGTGGATGGGTTTCTCGTGTGAGAGTGGAAGACAATCTTGATTCTCGAATCAAACTTCCGTGGAGAACCCTAAACGAATTGGGCCAGGCGCCTCCGTCGAACCTGATGCTCTGGTACCATGTAAAACGTGGGCCTAGGAATTCCTGAATAACACTATATTATTATTCAGATTATTCTCTCACAATGTATTACATCAAACCCCCTATTTATCCTATACGAACTGGGCCTTACAAGAAATAAGGCCCAAGACAAATAATTAAGTCCAAACATAATCCTAAATTCTAAGTACAAAATTATTTATTCCTAACAACCTAAATTACAGACTTCTATTCTCAACACATACTAATAAAACAAAATGATTAAATCACTCCGAAGGCACACTGCCTGATCATCCACTTAAATCTTGCATAAATAATTATTGGCAATAGGATAACACAACGATTTTTAAGGATTAATGCAATAGAATACTGTTTTTAAGTATGGATGCTATGTGGTGCCATGGGAGCTATCTAAGGTCATTATAGGATACCATTCAGAAAAAATTATACTGTGCTTCAGGAGTTTCATAAGAAAATGTATTTAGCATCATGTAAAAATTTAAACCGGAGGCGGATTGAACCATGGATTTAAAGAAGACTGAACCCGTGATGCTTACGACTTTGCTTCTTTAATGTTTATTGTTCTGTCATACAACTTTTATGTGTCAGTTAAGCCTTTTTTCTTCAAGCTGATGTTAATCAATGGTAGAAAAAAAGCTAATGTCTAATGGTTCTTATTCTTTAGGGCGTATTTTTATTCAAGTTGTCTTACCCATGCTTAAAATCATAATAATTTAAATGTTCATGCCCAGACTTGCTCTTGCCATCTAACGAATTTTATGTATATTGCTATGTTATTATATAATTCTATGGACGTCAATGTATATAATCATACAGGACTCAACCCATATTAACTTGAAACACGTTTTTTTGTATTAAACAAAGAAGGCCACCAGACAACACTTTGGAGTTCGATATTTTCATTAATTTTCATGAAATTGTCTGTAATTTTCTGTGGGGCGAAGGAGAATTACATATTTCCATGTAATCTATCACATTACTTTAAATTTTTTACACACAGCAAAATCATTTCTGACTGTTATTGCGTATATGTCTAATTATTGAATATCATAGATTGAATTTTCTTTTCTACCAAAGTATAATGATTCTTTCTAGATATTTGTTTTTGCTTTTTTTTCCCCCACATGGTCTTTTGGTGTTTCATGAAAATGGTAAAAGCTTAATGGCGATTAACCCACTGCTGTAGGATATTCCGCTCTAAACATGTATATTAACTGCAACTTTGTTTAGTAGTATACTGTCAATACTGCCACGAGGTTGCTGGCTTTTTAGTAGCTATTGTATGGCCATTTCAACTAACAATATTCACTAAGTGGATTGCCTAAAAAAAAGAGATATAGAGAGAGCGTAGCTGAGCTAATATTGATCACTGGTCAGAGAGATGGAGTCATTGTAATATTTGTTATTGGTCATTAGTCATTTGAATAAGTAGAGAGATTTTGGAAGCATAGATAATGGTAATAGTTTTTTCTTTACTATGTTGCAAGTCATCATCCCCTAGCTGGACCACACTGACTTTCCTGAAAAAGGAGATCTGAACCTCAAGATACAAGCATTTTACCTCTGCTGTGTTTATTTCTTGATGATGTTAAATGACCGAGAATGTCTCAAAAAGCAAACATGCCAAATAAAGTCACATTTCGGTCTTGCTTTCATTGTAGCGTATGGATTCCTTCAAATGACCAGTCTTCTTACAATTAAGCTCACTAATGATTTTATCCTTTTTTTTGTCAGCATTTTCTGTGGCTGATAAAAGGCAATTATTTTTCTGCACAAAAAATTGAAAGATTGGCATAGGAGTCATCTCAAAAAAAGGGTATATCTTAAAAGTATGCATGTGCAGTTTGTAGACAATATTTGCTTTCTGCGGTGCGTTGAACTTTTGCTATGCAGAGTTCTAATGCCATCAAAACGACAGGTCCTTTCTTTGCTTTTTCTTTTTCTTTTTTTCTTTTTTGTGTGAACTGACAGGTCCTTTCTTTATGTTAACAATATATCAATATTAAAAAAAGCCAAACAAACTACGTGTTTTCAAAACCTATCTACCCTGTTATACTATATGAATTTGGGGGTTACCTATTGATTTTGTCGGAGTCTTATCACTTGAAGTCAAATAGTTAGGCATGTAAATTTGTTTCAATTCTTGATTCTATTTCTTTTTCAATGGATTTTCCTGCTTCTATGTTTTACATAATAGTATAACACCTTTGGTTGAATATAGTCCTATTAGTTTAATCATGGGAATCGATTCACTTAATATTTGAAATTTGTAGATAATACTTAAGTATTTTGACTAGAGGCAAGTTATAAAAGCACATGAGAAACAACTTTATCCTTTCCAAGCACTTCACCTATCTTTTTTTTTTTTTGGTTTCAAATTGTTTAGCACGTAACTTTCTCTCAATTCTAATTTCCATTTGTTTCCTGAAAGAGTTTCACACTCTTTGGTTCTTCATTACATTTATTATGATTTTCTATCCTTCCCTGTGCATATAGCAGCATATATAGTGGGGAAACCAGTTTCAGTACTCCTCACCGTGATGAGCACCATAAGCTTATCAAATCTATATCGTCTATATCTGATTTGAACAGTTTAGATTTAAAATTTTAATTAATTATTTTTAAATAAAATTTTTTTTTATAGAATGACAGTTAAGATATTAACTCTATTTTAGATTTCATACCTATTAAAATTATTACTTTAATTAAATAAATATAAAAAATAAATCAATTCTGGACCATCCAAATGAGATATGGATGATCTAGATCTAATGAGCTTGTGGTGCTCATTGACAAACTCAATTATTTTTATATATTTTGGTATCTTTTATATGAGTTTTGTCAGCTTAATTGGTCTCTTTTTGCCTTAATTGATTTATTTTATTTTATTTTGAATTATTTTTTATAGGGGCAAAATTGTCATATTTCGGTTTAATTGTGACTAATTGATTTTTGAGGACAATTAATGCTACCTTATCTTTGAATTTTTGCTTGCAGGTTTTTGAAAGATTAAGAAAATAAAAATTTAAAAATTTAAAAATAAAAAGAAAAATAAAAAAGAAAAAAAATAAATTAATAAAAGGGGAGCAAAACGCTGCGTTTTGCTCCACCCCTAATATCTAATATTACATTCATCATCGGGGGACCTGGACGAACAGAGACGGAGACGCAAGCGAGAGGAGGCGGCATGCACACACGCAGAGACGGAACACGAGCTGGAGGCGGCGAGAGAAGAGAGAGGTCCTTCCATCGGTCCAGTCCATCATCATCGGTGGCTTCTTCTTCTCCTGGGCACAACAAAACCAGGCAAGCTAGACGGCGCGGGGAACCTGGAAAAACAGAGCAAGACGCGAAGCGGAGAACAGAGCTGGGCGAGAGCAGAGACACCAGAGGAGCGAGCGGCTCCGTTCACCACCATCACCACCGTCTTCTCCTTGCCGGCCCACAGAACCAGTGAGGACCACTGTTCCGTCATCTCCTCCATGGAAGCTTGCAATAGAGAATTGCTGGCGGCAGCGAATTTGATGGCAAACCGTGGCTAATTCTTGATTCTCCAATTCAACAATAATGGTAGGAGCTTGGATCTTTAAGGGGAGTTCTAGTTGCTTTAATTTCTTACTCAATAATTGTTTAACAATTCCTAGGTCTTAGGATAGTTTTTTTGATTGTTGGGATAATTGTATTGCTTAATCTGATTATATTTGGAGATTATTGTGACTGAATTATTGCTTAGTATTTGACATGGGGCTGTTTATAGTTTTGATCTCAATTATAATATTGTGGTTATGACATTTATATTTATTTTGGAATTAACATATTGTGATTTTCTAAGGTGGCTTAGAATTTTAGATCATATTGTCTCTTGCTAGCTTTAGTTCTGTTATTTTGGATTTAAGAGTTCTAATTAAGCATTGGTTTTTAGCATCCTTAATCCTATTTTACTATTCTGGTTGTAGTTAGTAAGTTGGGATTTTAGGAAAATATTTTATGGCAACTCGAGGTGGCTCGGTTGTTGGATTAAAAGCTTAATTATAACTCTTAATTCATTGTTTTTAACTCCCACATCTTTTAGAGTGATGATTGCCTACATTGTTGAATTGGAGGATTGATTATTATCATTGTTATTTGTGTGTCTCATTTTCATTTCTTTATTCTTCACTCATTTTAATCATTTTTACATAAAAACAAAAAAAAAAGTATTTTAATTTCAATTTAATTCATAGTGTTTAATTAGAAATTCTCAAATCAAAAATCCTTTTTATAATTTAGGTTACTTGCATTTATTTACTAGGGTTTAATTTCATTTTTGGCTCCCCAAAGTGAATACGACCCGGATTGTGCACTATATTACATTAATTCGGTTAATTTTTGGAGTAACCCCAAAACGACAAATTAAGGGCAAGTTAACTTCACTCATCAAAATGATGAGCATTGAAACTGGTTCCATATTGTGGGCCTTGATGTTCTTCCTCATGCTCGCTCACTGATGTAAATGTTTATAACCATAGATTAATAGTTGTCAAAGAATCATGCTCAAACTTTTCCATAGGAAAAGCAACATGGCTAACTTGAGTAAATGATGTGTCTTATTCAATGACTCATGAAAAGTTAGTTGGCAGTGTCAAAAGTTCTTTATGTAGGTGTCATATAATATTCTAAATAGGAATAACACATCTTCAAAGGTTGGACTGCCTATTAATAAAATCATGTTTTTGGGGTCTGTAGATATCGAGTATAACTTGTCTCTCTTGTTAAAAGACGCATTCTTCAATTGAAGATGCCCATAAAAGGTCGCAGGACTAGAGCAGTGCACATATGGAGGCATTCTGGCTGTAACATTAAGCATATAAAACAGGAAAAAAGTTGATGACACTGCAAACTGACAGCAGTTTATGTTTCTTCTTTTTAGGTCAATGAAAAGAAAGTCATCTTTTTCTTTTTATCATGTTTGCTATCCATTTAAGAGGAAATGGATACTTATTAACTTGTCATAGTTATTGCTCCAAATATTACTGTACAGTTTTGCCTATTTTCAAGTAATTATGTTACTCTATTATTTGAACGTGATAAATCCCAATTATCTTGAGCAAATCACTGAAAAACTTTAAGTGCAAGCATGTTGTGCCAAGAAAATTAGAAAGGAATTAAAGTTGTGTGATAGATTAGTATAGTGATCACCTAAACAGTATGATTAATGTAATCGGTAGTTAAATATATTTGGTTAGAGTTTATATTTCGAATATAACTTTTAGTTCAAAATATAATAAATATATCTGTACTAAATTTTAACATAATAGGCTGAGCATTTTCGGACCTACAACTATAATTTCATTGAGATTTACATTTAAATGTGAAAACATTCCATGATTTTTTATTTTCTTTTTTGCCAACAATTATTAGTATTATTAATTGGCTACAAACAATAATAAGTTGTTACTAATAAATTAAGTTCTGGCAAAAAAAATCAATAGAAAATTAAGATAAGATAATTTCATATTTAAAAGCTTCTTGTGCATCACATGGGAATCACATGGGTGATATGGGAGTGTGAAATAAAGATAAAAGAGAAGGCATGGATTTAGTCAAAGTTCCAAATTAAAAGAAGGATGAGAGGGAAAATAACACCAAGTCATGGCTGCGTTTGAACTTGAAAAAGGGTCAGAGGATATTAAGGAAACTTTGATTTATTCCCTCTCTCCTTAAATATATACTCTCTTTCTAATTTTTATTATATTTCCTCTAATTTTTAATATTTGATACTTTTACTATTTGATATACTTGAGTATTAGATTTGAAATAAATGCTTCCCGTGCAACGTACGGGGAGCATAAGCTAGTTTGATATAAATTGAGTCAAACAGAGCTATAAAAAGGTGACAAAACTATATCAAGTATTTTAATTAGATTTTTTTAATTTTTAATTAAAATTGTTGGTAACAGAGTTTTGCCGCCTTTTGTGGTGCTATCTTGCTCAGTTTACTACTCCCAATAAATTCTACGATTAAAATAAGTAGGTCTAAAAATTAGGTGTTCCACTCCAAAAATATTTAAAAAAAGTTAAAAAGTATTCATTAATTGTATAACATTGATCAGATTTATTTTTAATTTTTAATAGCATAACAATGTGGCATATATATTAAGAGCCTTATTTCCTCTCATTATTACTCAGTATTCTAAATTAATTAATTTTTAGCTCATTTGATACTTAAAATTTTTTTTTCCAGTAGCACTCAATATCTAACACTAATTTTTTTATGGATATAATACTCTGAAATATTTTTTAGTAGCATTCAGTGTCCCAAATTAATTAAGTTTTAGTCCAAATAATACCCTAAAATATTGAGTAAAATATTGTGACTGTCCTTATAGTTTGTATCAATTACATATAGACATTCCCTCTATTTTAAAAACATACAGTTTAGTTCAATCAGTTAACATGGTCAGAAATATTCTAAAAAAATTCTAAAAATATTATTTTTTTTAAAAATGAAATTTATATTAAAATAAATTTTATTTACTATTTTACCTCACATTCTAATAAATTATTAAATTATATTTTTATAATTACATGAATTTTATTCAGTTAAGGTAAACATAAAAGACTTTATTTAAAAATTTAACTATTTTGAAATAAATGTATATACTTAACTAAATATGTTTATAAATTTCTGAAACAAAGATGCATTTAAATTTTTTAAAATTATAAATTTAAATAATTTATAAATATTTCGATTTTATATCATGTAAATTATATGATAAACAAAAACTATGTATTTGAACTATGTTTTTACAATTCAGAAGAAAATCAAAGGAAATAATTTTTAATGAATGTGATTAAAAAATTATAATTATAGAATTTTATGATTTAAATGAAAATTAATAAATTTTATAATATATTAGAAATTTTAAAAATATATGCATGAGAATCATTTTTTAACTTTATAAAAAAAATTTTGAAAAATATAAATATCTAAATAATTATTAAGTTAATAAGAAGCATTTGGGTCCAAAAAAAATTAAAGTCAAAACTTAATAGCCAACTAACGATTTAGGTGGATAAAAATAGAATCTTAAATGTAGGATGAATCTTAAACCCTAAAGCCCTCAACGCCCTTACAGAGCCGATCCTTTTAAACTTGTTTTTCATTTGAAAAGACAAATTCAAACTCAACCCTCACAATTCATTTCCCTTTCTTCTAACTTGACTTGATCTCAATTGTAAGAATTTCCTCTACTTTACTATGGTGGGCCTCCTGCACGAGAGAAAAAGATATGGAATACTATCACTACAAAAAAAACAGACTTTAGGCGACGACTTTCGGCGGCGACAAAAAAAGTCGCCGCTGAAACTAAGACTTTCGGCGGCGACGAAAATGTCGCCGCTGAAAGTGGACTTTCAGCGGCGACTTTTTTTGTCACCGCTGAAAGTTCGCCATTGAAACCAAGACTTTCAGCGACGACAAAAGTGTCGCCGCTGAAAGTGGACTTTCGGCGGCGACTTTTTTAGTCGCCGCTGAAAGTTCGCTATTGAAACCAAGACTTTCAGCAGCGACATTTTTGTTGCCGCTGAAAGTGGACCTTCAGCGGCGACCTTTATTGTCGCCGCCGAAAGTGGACTTTCAGCGGCGACTTTTTTAGTCTCCGCTGAAAGTTCGCCATTGAAACCAAGACTTTTAGTGGCGACAAAAGTGTCGCCGCCGAAAGTGGACTTTCAGCGGCGACTTTTTTTGTCGCTGCTGAAAGTATAATATAATAATATATATTTTATTTTACAATATTAATAAACAAATTCAATCTGGCTCAGCGGCAAGAAGGTTGGACACGAAAGGAGGCGGTCACGAGTTCGAACCTGGAAGAAGACACATTTAAGGTGAAAATATATAGACGATGACGTGGCAAGGAGGAGTGATGTGGCAATGACGTGGAGGTGGCTAGTGATGACGTGGAGGTCAGCGGTGATGACGTGGAGGTCGACGGTGCTGACGTGGCACCGGCGGTGATGACGTGGCATTGGTAAAGGCAATTCTTCTTAGGCATTACTTTCAGCGGCGACAAAAAAGTCGCCGCAGAAAACACTTTCGGCGGTGACATTTGTCGCCGCCGAAACTTCTAAAAGTCGCCGCTGAAAGTATCTTTTAGCGGCGACCTTTTTAGTCGCCACTAAAAGTTTTCAGCCACGGCTGCTACGGCAACGACTTTTTAGCGGCAACTTGTCGCTGCAAAAAACTTTCGGCGGCGATTTTTGTCGCCGCTGAAAGTCAATTTTTTTGTAGTGTATGTAGTATAAACACAATTTGAGATACTTTGGTTCAGTAGACGCTAAACTCACTATTCTAATCTTCATTGACATAACAAAATTCACATCTTGAGTCTTGACATATAAAAACCAATAAAACACCATACTTACAAGCGTAAGCTTTGTCTGGTGACACGGTTGAGCCCTTTCAAAACTAAAAATATTTGGGCACCTCAGAAG